ATACATGTAGATGATTATGGGCCACAGTATCCACCTAACATCAGGTGGAGTGGCTGCTCGTTTGTTAGCCTTATTCTATAAAAAAATAATTAAAAAAAAAGATTATGAAAATTAATATTACGTTTCAGCCCTTATAGTATTTTTTGTAAATTAATTTTACTCGATTTATCAAAATTCTAACTATTTCATACATCTAGTCCTTTAAATGGGAAGGATAAAGCCAATGGTTTAGTATCGAAAAAGGTGTTAGACAGGGATGTGTAGCGTCACCGTGGCTGTTTAATCTGTTCATGGACAATTGTTTGACAGATTTAAAAGAGAATGAAAGTGGGTTGAGAATGAATGAGTTACTTGTCAAATGTCTTCTCTATGCTGATGACCAAGTATTACTTGCGTCTTCGGCCGAGGAGTTGCAGGAGATGGTAACTGCTATGAGTGGAGCTTTTGTTAGAAAGGAAATGAAGATGAATGTAAGGAAGACGAAAGTGATGGTGTTTGAAAAAGATGAGGCAGTGACAGACTGCAATATCGTGATTGAAGGTGAAGAAATTGAACAGGTGAAAGAGTTTGTGTATCTGGGTTCAAAGTTTACAAGAGATGGAAAGTGTGAGAGTGATATCGAAAGAAGAGTGAATGCAGGAAACATGGTGAATGGAGCTTTGCACTCCTTTATGAGCAGTCGGAAAGTGTCTAACAAGGCTCGTTTGGCTGTGCATGAGGGGGTGTTGGTTCCGACACTCATGTACGGAAGTGAAAGTTGGGTATAGCAGAAGAAACATGAAAGTAGAATAAATGCAGTTGAGATGAGAGCATTAAGAAGTATGATAGGAGTTAAACTGAGTGGCAGGATAATAAATAGTGAGATAATGAAACGTTGTGGTCTGAAAGAAGATGTAGTGACAAAAATTGAGAAAGGTATGCTGAGATGGTTTGGCCACATCGAGAGAATGAATGAAGAACGATTGACGAAAAAAAGTGTATAAGGCGAGTGTGAATGGAAGTGCTGGAAGGGGTAGACCTAGGCGGACTTTTCTAGACCAAATTAGGGACGTCTTGAAAAAAAGGCCAGGTTAAGAGTACCCTAAACCGTAGAGCATGTATGAAGGGAATAATGAAAGTAGACGAAGCGAAACAAGTATGTAAGGATCGTAGCAAGTGGAGAGAAGTGGTCTCTGCCTACCCCTACGGGAAAGAGGCGTGATTATATGTATGATAAAGCCAAACACAGATAGGCAAGTTATTATAAAACTATTTTAGATATTATTTACACAGTTTTAAGGAATTTTCTACGGAAGAGCGGGCCATCCTGGTACAGGTATATATTTACTTAAAAAGAAATTCCAACAACGGCTTAGTCTATCTATTTTAACAAACCATGTAAACAAATATAGAGCTAAACAGTAAAATATATGCGAAGCAATATTTTTTCGTCATCATGGTTCGTGCGTCGATTTTGTACCGATAGAATACTAGGCTATCATAAATTATTGTGTGCCGAGGAATAGTGGCCACTTGGAACCCTTGGAACTAATAATGCCAAATCACTCCTTATATGATCCATACTTCTCGATAAGCGAGCCATAAGTTTACGGTAAAGATTACGGTGGTTTTACTTGCGGTTCGTCGTCACTGATGCGCTGGCAACCACATACAGTGTAAACTCTGTATAGCGAAATTAAAGTGACATGGCATTTTATTGCGTTATGAAGAGTTTTCGCTAAATGGAGGGTGAAAGAAAACAGGATAATTTTGTTCTTCCAAATGATAGACACAGTATATGGACTGAATCCAAAACGTTTTGCAACATCACTTTTTCTTTCTCCCTATTCTATCGCGCGAATTAATGATACTTTTTGTCAATACACAAATTCTTTCGTTTACTGGCCATGTTTACAGTTCAAAAATTTGAAAGCAACTAAGAATAAGATACGCAATCGTTAGAAACAAGACAATAGTAGGAAATAAAGTAAGTAAAACACGTGCTAGGTAATCAGACAAACAAATGAACAAATTTCTAAGAATGCCATTGTACGTACGAAATATTTATGAGTCTGTATCAGGTCTAAATAATGATTATTGTTTAGCTATCGAGAGCGGTTGCTACGCTATAGAGTGTTATATTATAAGCTTAACCATGTAAACCAAGCAAACCTTAGAAATGTCTACGTTTTAAGGAGTTTCAGTTAAATAGAAGTTAGCTGTATAGAGTTTACACTGTATAGTTATTCCTTAAATTAAGTTTCCCTGGATTTCTTGCTGATTTCTGCCAGTACAGAAGTTTTTTTTTTCTGGACCAGTGGTGAAAATACTTTCTATATTAATTATATTCTAATTTGATTAAATAAAATCGGCCGAGTGCGATTCGGACTCGCGCATGTAGGGTTCCCGTACCATCGTAAAAACGCGTTTCTAGTAAGGGAGCCCCCTTTAATTTTTAATTTATTTGTATTATATATTTACATACGGCAACAAAAATACACATTCTGTGAAAATTTCAAGTGTCTACCTATTACGAACCATGAGATACAGCCCGCTGAAAGACGGACGAACGGACGGACAGCGGAGGCTTATGAATAAGGTTTTGTGGGTTACTCTTTGGGTACGAAACCCATCGAACTATATTACTAGCGTATTACTACTAATACCTCAATGACGAAACCCTAAAAAGTATTCTATTCTTTAGTTTGTTGAAGCAATGTGCCAAATTTCATATAACCTTCGATCAACAACACCAACGATCGAAGCATATAACGCTAGCGAGCCGCGCGCTTGGCAAAACCGATGTTTTGCGATGATCCACCAATTCTATACGTGGTAGAGCTATGCTGCAGTTATATTAGTGGTATAGTAGTAGCACGAATGGGTCGGCTCGACCGGGGAAAGAGCACGCTCGCACAGAATACCAGCGTAAAATAACAGCTTAATGCTGCTGTGTTTCGTATGGTGAATGTAGAGAACCGGAGATCCTTTTTTACTGGAAATGAGGCATTCCATCTTAGTCCTCTCGGGTGACAACGCATCTGCATTTTTATTCGTAATCGAGGACAGATGTAGATGTCTATGGGCCACAGCAACCACTTACCATCATTTTATTAACCAATTGTTATGAAGACGCTGCTGCTCATCTGGTTTGTTCCATTGTGTCGCCTCACACGACGCCCACGGGACAATATGGGGTAGTGGATATCCTTACACCGCCACTACACGGTACACTTTGACTGCCTCGTTGGTCTGGTGGTTGTAGTAGTGCGATTGCTGATCATAAGGACCTAGTTTCGAATCCCGAGTCGGGACAAAAAAAATCAATTATTGAGTTTTTCTGTCAAGAAATTCTCAGTAGCTGTCCGGAGTCAGGAAGTTGGCGGTGTCTCACCCCCGTGCCTCGGAAAGCACGTAAAGCCGTTGGTCCTGCGCCTAATCTCTCTCCGGTCATTGCGGTTTACCGTCCCATCGGATTATGAGAGTGAGGGAATAGAGTGCACCTGTGCTATTGTACACTTGGGCACTATAATCCTGTCCCGCGCCGATGGCTAGCCTTCGTTGAGGCAGGCCGCCGTGGCCGAAATTCGGTATGGAGGACTTTATTACACTTTACCACGTAATTTTTTTATTGGTACGTGTATATCTTGATTACTTCTCAAATAAAACAATCTAGCGTGCTCAGTCGTTAACGTAAATAAAATACTTGAAAACTGAGAACACAACACTTAAGTGCATACTCCTCTGAATAACCACGTTCCTGCACGCATGCATTACACCGTCGTAAATGGTCGTAAACCTACAAAAACAATGGTACATGGCCCGCTTATAACGTCTGAGGTCAGTTCTTCAAGGCGCGAAACGTGAAACTTGCAATCCGTTGTTTTACTTTCGCTTCGGTTTAAATGACGTCGCTTAAGGGTTCTTTAAAGTCCAGCTTTCATTCTATTGTATTCTAAAAATAGCTGCGTTTAATAGCGTATTTTGAATTGATCGCATATTTTCGTTTTTTTTCCAGAGTTTTACGATTTATAGAGACAAAAGCGTTGGCTTTTTATTTCTGTACGTGCTATGCCTGTACTTTAAGACATAAAAACATTATACAATGCAGTAAGCCACGTATAATGGGTCGGCTCGACCGGACCATGGTCTCAAAGAATACCAGCGTAAAATAGCAGCTTATTGCTGCTGTGTTTCGTATGGTGAGTGTAGAGAACTGGAGACCGCCTTTCCTAGAATCGAGGTATTCCCTTCTAGTGCTAAGGGATGACAATGGATCTGTATTTTGATTTTTATTTGAGGGTAGATTTTTAGATGTCTATGGGCCACAGTATCCACTTACCATCAGGTGGACTGTTTGCCCGTTTGTCACCCTTGTTCTATAAAAACGATTTTAATGAAACTCATGAAAATTGTAGGATTTTCTTGGCTTGTCCAAAATCGGTGTCATTAAAGTTGATACTTTGTATTGCGTTCACTGACACTATATCACAGCGATTCATTTGCTGCAATCGCTGTGATATTATTTCATTGATCGTCTTTGTGAACTTCATGTCTCGAGTCAACATTGAAAGGTTAGTGGTTGAAAGGCTCTTATTTACTAAAAACCTCGGTCTTTAAACTTTTGCACAATAGGTAACAAAGTATTCGGGTCGAAAGTTATTTTTATTGTAATACGCCGGGGGGAAGAAGACTCTAACTTTGATATGTACAAAAAGTGGTAAAATTAAAATTTTTGTACAACTGACTTCATCATCAATATAAATAAAATGAGAACATGATCAATGTAGTCAAGTCAATTAAAAATATATTATTAAGGATAACTCAAAAACTACTGCTCAGATCTTGATCAAATTTATATGGGACCTCATCAGAAGCACCAGCTTTAAAAAAGTCATCAAAACCAGTTCACCTACAAAAAAGTTCTGAAGAGTAACACACAAAAAATATAGTCGAATTGAGAACCTCCTTCTTTTTTTAAAATCGGTTGAAAAGTATCATCACAAATCTTTCTTTTACAGATCACTGTGTGAAGAGCTAAACACCTGTCGTCTGGACGCGACCTGCATCGCTCGATGCTTTGTCAACAATACTGCGGGTTTCGCCGTCTACACGTCATATTGCACCGGGTACCCTCGTACTATGGAGCGGTTGGCATCACTGGCTTCCAAGCCTCAGAGTGCGAGGGAGTTCAGGGAGAGACAGATGGAGCTGAGGCATCCGTTGCCACTCGCATCGTATCTGCTGAAACCTGTGCAACGGATACTGAAGTACCATCTATTGTTGCAGGTTTGTTTAATATTATCTACGTTTTTGTGAACTGTGTTAGTTCGAAGTATAAATCGATTTACCACCAACATCACTTAAAATATTGTATGTGTGATGACTTACCACTAAACTAAAGTTAACTAACTTAGAGTTGACTAAAATCCCTTATTATACTTCTCGTACATACACATAGACTGCCTCGTTGGTCTAGTGGTTGCAGTAGTGCGACTGCTGATTATGAGTCCTGGGTTCAAATCCCGGGTCGGCCCAAAAAATTAATTATTGAATTTTTCTGTCAAGAAATTCTCGGTAGTTGCCCGGAGTCAGAAAGTTGGCTGTGTCTCACCCCCGTGCCTCGGAAAGCACGTATAGCCGTTGGTCCTGCGCCTGATCTCTTTCCGGTCGTGTCGGTTTACCGTCCCATCGGATTATGAGAGTGAGGGAATAGAGAGTGCACCTGTGCTTGCACATACACTTGAGCACTATAATCCTGTCCTGCGCCGATGGCTAGTCTCTGTTGAGGCAGGCCGCTGTGGCCGAAATTCGGTCTGGAGGACATTACATATACATATATTGTATGTATAGGGTATCTCTTTTCTTAGAGAATTTATTTGACAATTAAGGCAATACCATCGATGCCGATATCCATCATTTGTTGATAATAATAATGAATAGCTCGGACGAGGATCTGAAATAGCTCATGCATTTCTTACGAGCCTCTGGGTGAAATGGTAAGTTGATGCTACGGCTCGTAGACATCTACATCTATTGATTCTTACTCGTCGATTGATTAATATACTTGAAAGTAAATAATAAATAAATAATAAACCACTTACTCAGAAAACTCATATATTTTATTTATCAAAGAACATATTAAATAACTCGCTGTGAAATAAATGCCCTTGTATTTTTGCAGAACGTGGTGAAACAGTGCGCGTCTCGCGAGACCGAGTACGCGCTATTGAAGATGACGGGAATTGCTCAACACATCGACGATATGAAACGAAAGCACGAGCACGCCGTTCGTGTACAGGTAAATACGGCATCATCATCATCATATGTATCACCCCGTAAAAGTTCAGCGATGGGAAGAGCAGCAGAGCAGCAGAGCTCCTTTTCTGTCAATGACTTCGCCTGTCTAGTCAGTGTTTGCGCTGCTGGCGCCAGGTGTCGCAAGCAGCCCCTCAACTCCTTTCCTATGTAGACGGCTTCATTTGGCTCAATAACGTCCAACTACGCACCCTTAAATGGTTCAAAAACCTGCCTTATGGTTATAAGCATGTAAGATACGTGGTATGGCTACAATGCAGGGAATTGTGGCTTTGTAGGATCACGCTCCCACCGAATACCAATATACAATTGCAGCATCATCGTATATTGCTACTGTGTTTAGTATGGTGAGTGATGAGAATCGAGGACCCATCTTACTGATAAAAAGTCTCCATCTTAATCCTCAAGGTTCTTTTTTATAGAATAAGGGTGTCAAACGAACACCTTTTCAACCTGTTGGTACTAGGCTGACTGAAAATCCAATTCAGTCAGCAAATCCATTCTTATCCTTGCAATCGACAAATCAATACCAAGAATAAATCATGTACTTGCTCATTAATTGAAAGAGTAAAAGTTATAAAATATCTGGGAATAAGTATTGATGATAAGCTCAACTGGAAACAGCACATAACATCTGTTGCTAATAGACTCAGTACTAAAAGTATCGGGAATGGAATATTTCCACTGTTCCTGTCATTTTAAAATCTTTTTTAATTGAAAACTCCTTGGTTTTAAAAATCGAATACCATTTATTTATTTAAAAAAAAGATTCTCGGTCTTGTCACAAGGTTTTGTCAAATTTGTTTAGTCGTTGAGAAAATGGAATTGACTCGAGAAAATTCAAGAGCGATGATTTATTATGACTTTCGAAGTGGTTTAACACAAAAACAGTGTGTTGACCGGATGATTTCTGCATTTGGTGATGAAGCCCCATCCAAAACCACAATTTATCGCTGGTTTGCTGAATTTCAACGTGGACGTGTCAAGCTCAATGATGGTCCTCGTCAAGGTCGTCCAAAAACTGCAGTCACCCAAGAAAATATTGATGCTGTGCGTAAGCTGATTGAGGAAGATCGACATGTGACATACCGCGAAATTCAGGCAACTTTAGACATTGGCATGAGTCAAATACAAATAATATTGCATGAACAATAAGGTGTAAAAAAGTTGTTTTCCCGATGGATACCGCATTCGCTCTGTGAAGAGCAAAAAAGCGGCTCGCGTTACTTGGTGCGTCAGAACTCTCGAAAGATTCCACGCAGGATCCTCAAATGCTGTATACAACATCGTATCAGGTGACGAATCCTGGATATACGCGTACGAACCCGAAATAAAAAACCAGTCACGAGTTTAACAACATAACCAGCAACAATATTTTACACTTTCAATTAGGCAGACATGCTAAGTAGCTAATGGGATAGTTGCCAATAGTGTCAAATGTATTTTTTACGACTATAGTCTGTCCGTTTGTTCATATACTCATTCTCATTCGCACATTCAATAATTTCTTATACATAATTAAAAAAAAATTTGCTCGTTATCAAAGAGCATAATAAGGTACGTGAGAGTAATATATCATGTCATCTTAATGTATGCCGCCCTATAAAATCAAAACTAGGTGTAATAGTGGAGACGAACTGTCCACTATTAACAGACTCCGAGTGGTTTTCTTTAAGGTGGAGAAATGAAACTACTGTTTATGTTTATGAATGTACTGTCGAATGGGATTCGGAATGGAATATCTTTTGCATCAACCTTGCCTATATTTATATGGCTGGCTCGCTATTGATTTGCCAATGGTAACAATTAATATTTTGCCTAGCCAATTATATTGCTTATTTTATGACCAATGAAAACTATTTAAAATATACAATTATCTACGTTTCGTTTCCCGGCGTGAGACTTGTTTGTTGTTCACGAAGCTACGTCGCTGGACCGGGCTATATAAGACATGCAGATCGGTGCGCACGCGTAGTCGGCGGGCGGCGGCGGTGTGGAATACAGCTCCGGAACAGCAAGAGGAAACGAACTGCGGCGTTGAAGAAACGGCTCACCATTGGTCGACGGATACGTGACGATAGCGGCGTGTGAAGTCGGTGTGGCGCTGAATGATATTTGCGGCTGCTTCTTGTTTCTTTATAAGAACGTCAAATTATCTATATACAGTCCGCAGTATCCCAGTAGCCAAGAATAATTAGGAAATAAAATGTTTTTTTTATTTATTCTCGCCTTCCGCGTTATGGTAGCAGCGGAGTATATATTATTTATTCCCGTTTAGGTTTGATTAATCTGGCTGCTACATCACTCTCCCCCCCAGCGAAAGCGTACCGGAGGCTTGACGACTCGCCCGTATTTCGTAGTTTTTAAAATAGGTTTCAACTGGGTTGATGTAGATGATGAAGTTTCAAGCTTCCTCGCTGGTGGTTTTGATGATGATGATGAATCCTCTGCAGTATCCTCGTTAATAATATAGGCAGGCTTTAGTCGGTCGATCGATATAATCGTAGATTTCCTTCCGGGTATTTGTAGTTTAAAAGTCTTGCTATTTCTCTCTAATACTTTATACGGTCCATCGTAGGTAGGTTGAAATTGTTTTTTCATTGCGTCGTTTCTTACAAAAACTTGTTTGCATGTTTTCAAATCTTGGTGAATGAATACTGATTTATTATTTCTGTGTGATTGCATTTCGGTGCATTTCAACGATAAGGCTTTGTTAATTGATTCTCGAAGTTTAGTTACGAAATCGTAATCCATTTCTTGTTTGCTTGACGCTGCTGAACTGAAGAAGTCACACGGCAGCCTTATGCTGCAGCCGTAGGTTAGCTGAGCGGCGCTAAGACTAGTGTCTGCACGCGGTGTTGCTCGTAGTCCGAGTAGCACTGTAGGTAGCTCATCAATCCACTTTGTATGTTGAGATAAACGAGTTTTGAGTGCAGTCTTTAATGTACGATGCCATCGTTCGATTATTCCGTTTGACTGAGGATGGTATGCTGTTGTACGCGTCTTCTGTATTCCCATAGTTTGAAGAAGTTTGAGGAATAGGTTGCTTTCGAAATTCCTTCCTTGATCCGTTGTGATGGTTTTAGGTGATCCGAAACGAGTAATCCAATTTTCATAAATTATCTTCGCGACGGATTCGGCTGAAGTATCATCGGTAGGTATTGCTTCTGGCCATCTTGTTGTTCTGTCGATCATTGTTACGAGATAACGATGTCCTTGCGGTGAAGTAGGTAATGGTCCAACGATGTCAACGTGCAAGTGTTCGAATCTCTCCGTGGGTGGAAATGTAGCTAGACTACTTGATGTATGCCTTTGAACTTTGCATTTTTGGCATTGAATGCATTGCTTCGCCCAGTTGCCAACATCCGCTTGCATTGCAGGCCAAAAGAATTTTTCAGTGATGAGTTTTCTTGTTGTTCTAACACCTGGATGACTAATGTTGTGCAGTGCATTGAAGACTTCGCGACGACATTCTTCTGGTATGTATGGTCGCATGGTTGTCGTTGAGGCTTCACAGTATATAGGTAGATGCGTCATTGGCATTGTAACTTGCTTGATGGACAAGTTACCTTGCTTCGATAGATGTTTTATGTTGTCACTATCTCTGTCTTGTGCTGCGGCGATCTTATGATAGTCGATTGATGTAGGGCACGTTACACTGTCGATTGGTACGCGACTGAGTGCGTCGGCAACTATGTTGGCCTTTCCACTGATGTGATGTATGTCGGTCGTGAATTCACTTATGAAAATAAGTTGTCTTGCTCTTCGTGGTGTTTCCGATAGTGATGGTTTCTTTGGAAGTACATATGTTAATGGTTTGTGGTCGGTAAAAACGATCAGGTTTCGACCCTCGAACGTTTTTCTGAAGTGCTTGATAGCCATGTAAATAGCGAGTAGCTCTCGGTCGAATGTACTGTAGTTACGTTGAGTATCGGAGAACTTCTTCGAAAAATATCCAAGTGATTGCCATTTCCCATTGCTGTATTGTTGGAGAACTGCTCCTGCTGAGAGATCGGATGCGTCGCTGAAGATAGCAAGGGTTGCTTCGTGTGATGGGTGAGCGAGTAAAGCTGCATTTTGGATCGCAATTTTACAAGCTTCAAATGCCTTCGTGGCTTCATCGTTCCATTCGATTGACGTTTTATCTTTTTTCTTCGTGTTGTGAAGGTAGGCGTGAAGTGGTGCTTGGATTTCAGCGGCTTTAGGTATGTGTTCTCTGTAAAAATTTATCATCCCAAGAAAACGCCTTAGCTCTTCGATAGTTTTAGGTTTTGCATAATCGATGATTGCTCTGACTTTTTCGGCAGGCGGTTTTATTCCTTCCTTGCTGACGGTGAAACCAAGAAATTGAACTTCTTGCTGTCCAAATATGCATTTCGAAGGGTTGATTGTGATTCCGTTGTCTTCTAATCGCTGTAGCACGGTGCGTAGATGGGTTTCGTGCGTTTCTTTATCAGGGCTTGCAACAAGGAGATCATCAATAAATGCGAAAACGAAATCCAGTCCATGAAGTACTTCGTGTATGAATCTTTGGAAAGTTTGACCTCCGTTCTTTAATCCTGGGATCATTCTTGGGAATTCGAATAATCCCATTGGGGTAATTATTGCTGTCTTCTCTATGTCTTCATCGCGGACTCTTATTTGTTGGTAAGCTCGGTTGAGATCGATGGTGGAGAATATAGTCTTGTCTGATAGTTGATGAGTGAAATCCCTGACTCGCGGTATTGGGTAGCGGTCAGGAGTGGTAATAGAATTCAGTCTTCTGTAATCTCCACAAACTCGTAATTCTCCGTTCTTCTTCGGTACAATGTGAAGTGGTGATGACCAAGGGCTTTTGCTTGGACGGCATATTCCTTGCTCAATCATGTTTTCGAATTCCTTTCGAACTTGCTCGTATAGGTGTGGTGCGATTGGACGTGCACGACAATGAAGTGGTGGTCCATTGGTGTCGATGAAATGCTCAACGTCGTTCTTCGGTGTTAATTTCATTGAAGTTATTCTTGTGATACCAGGGTATTCTTCGAGGATCTTGTGATACGGTTGTTGCACATCTATGCTTCTTATTGTGGGCAGATTGGTTGCTTGTACAAAAGACTGAGATGCAAGATTGGTTTTCCCGTCGATGATTCTTCTATTTTTGATGTCGACGACCAACTGGTGATGTTGAAGAAAATCAGCACCGATGATTGGTTTGCTGACTTTAGCGACGATAAATCTCCATTTGAATGGTCGGCGTAATTTAAAATGAAGTTCCATTGTTTTTTCTCCATATGTAGGAATAACCGTATTGTTTGCTGCATAGAGTTGAAAATCTAGTGGCTTCAACTTCTGTCCTTGCTTCGGCGGTAACACTGAGATATTTGCTCCGGTGTCGATAAGGAAAGTAAGCTTGCTTTTTTTATCGGTGACGAAAAGACGGTAGGACTTTGCTGTTACGCTGGATCCCGTCGCATCGAGCGTACTAGTTAGTTTTCCGTATTCGTATTTTCATTTTTGAATGTACACGGTGCTGTGCATTTTCTTGCCTCGACCCCGAAACGTCGATGATAGTAGCAGTAAGGGGATCTTGATGTTGAGCTTATTCGACTTCTACTTGCAGAGCGGTTGCGACGAAAAGGTGATCTTCGGTGTTGCTGATTGCGCTGGTTGTACTGTTGCTGGTAAAAGGTATGATGCTGGGAAGCTTTGAGCGCGGCGACTTCGAATGATAGCTTCCGAATTTCTTCGAGAAGAAACTGGGTATCATTGGCCTTTGTTGAAGTGCCTTCGATGATCGATATGTGTGAGCTACTGCTGTTTTCGATCATCTTGTCCGCCAGGAGTGCCAGTTCGTCGAGCTTCGTCTGCGTGCTGAATGTTTCGCTGACTGCTATTACCGATCGAATATGTGGTGGTAGGTGGTTTACCCACATTAGCCGTAGTGTTGAATCCGGAACTTTATCTCGCGCCAAAGTACGCATTTTGCGTAGGAGTTGTGTGGGTTTCTGGTCTCCAAGTTCTATTTCTGATAGAAGTTTTGTAGCTGTCGACTGTCGGATTCTTCGTATGCGGAGATCAGACGATCCTTCAGTGAATTATACTGGTCGACTGCTGGTGGGTTGTACAACAGGTCCGCAATTTGTTCGATGTCTTGTTTCTCAAGTTGGGCTATCACCATCTGTGCTAATTGCGCTTGGCTCTTCTTTAAACCATTCGTTGCGGCTTCAAAACTGACGAACCAAAGTCGTGGTTTGTCTCTCCAAAACGGTGGTATTCTTAACGATAGAGATATACCGGCGATTTCTGGTTCCTTTACCGGGTTTGATGTATATGTGTTTGCCTCCTGCTCCATAATGACGGCTTGATTACACTGATTTTATATAAACTGAAGTCTTCCTTCTCGGTGTTCGTACGGGTTTCCTTCGCGGTGTTCGTGCAATAGTAGTGGTACGTCGCAGGGTGTTCCTTCTTGGTGTTCGTACCGGATCTTCCCCCCTCGGTGTTCGTACGGGGTCACCACTATAATAGTGGAGACGAACTGTCCACTATTAACAGACTCCGAGTGGTTTTCTTTAAGGTGGAGAAATGAAACTACTGTTTATGTTTATGAATGTACTGTCGAATGGGATTCGGAATGGAATATCTTTTGCATCAACCTTGCCTATATTTATATGGCTGGCTCGCTATTGATTTGCCAATGGTAACAATTAATATTTTGCCTAGCCAATTATATTGCTTATTTTATGACCAATGAAAACTATTTAAAATATACAATTATCTACGTTTCGTTTCCCGGCGTGAGACTTGTTTGTTGTTCACGAAGCTACGTCGCTGGACCGGGCTATATAAGACATGCAGATCGGTGCGCACGCGTAGTCGGCGGGCGGCGGCGGTGTGGAATACAGCTCCGGAACAGCAAGAGGAAACGAACTGCGGCGTTGAAGAAACGGCTCACCATTGATCGACGGATACGTGACGATAGCGGCGTGTGAAGTCGGTGTGGCGCTGAATGATATTTGCGGCTGCTTCTTGTTTCTTTATAAGAACGTCAAATTATCTATATACAGTCCGCAGTATCCCAGTAGCCAAGAATAATTAGGAAATAAAATGTTTTTTTATTTATTCTCGCCTTCCGCGTTATGGTAGCAGCGGAGTATATATTATTTATTCCCGTTTAGGTTTGATTAATCTGGCTGCTACACTAGGAGAGGGACAGATACAAAAACACAAGTATATTATAACTAATATATTAAGAAAAAAATTACAAACAAGTTTTGGCAATAATTAGGAACACTTCGAAAAATCTACGTAAAAAACTAACTACACTACATCATACTAAAATCGACTAAAATATTTACTGTAATATCAACTGTTAAAATTGCATCGATAATGCAGCGCCCTTTTGACCCTGTATTATTAGATCGAACACAACAGTATCACAAATCCATCTATGCATATTTATTTGCCTACCAAGTGTACAAACATTGGTCAAGTGTATGCCGCAAGCCCAGGTGTACTCTCTATTCCCTCACTCTCATAGTCCGATGGGGGGGGGGGGGGGGTGTTATTCGACACGACCGGATAGAAATAAGGCGTATGACCAACGTCTATATATGCTTTCCGAGGCTCGGGAGTGAAACACCACTTACTTCCTGACTCCGGTATCATCAGGCTACTGAATTTTTTTGTCAGAAAATCCAATATCCGATTTTGGCCCGACCCGGGATTGAATCACGTGATCACCGCGTTTACGACCACGAGACAAACAAGCCATTCAATATATTGAAACATTTTGAATATGCACATCACATAATTTTATTATTTCGAAAGTTTTCTAAACTTACCTATTTTAGTATTCACTTCATTGAGTGTAGAGGTAAGAACGACTGTCTCACATGGGGAATAGTTGAAAAAGTGTCCATCTGTAAGCAGTAAATAACATTTGAAAAACTCTCCACAACAGCGCTTGAATAGCTAGAGGGTATGAAATGAACTTAGCAGTTGTCGACGGAATGAAGTGTGCTGAGTTGAGAAATTTAAACCTCAACTACTCACGTTGTCTAAAATAATTTTGTAAATATAACCTATAAAAAGTCGCCGTGAACCACGATGAGAGTGATTTTGAAAACAAACATTTTGAAAACAATAAAATAACTACTATAAAAAAGAGTTATGGTGAACGTTTGTGCAATAAAAAGTTATAAAAAGTTCTTTTAAACCCTCTAGCTACAATGGCGACACCCTTATTTAACGCTTTCCTACGTACACGTTTTAATGCACAGAGACGGTTCTGCATAACTCTACAATTCATGATATAACTTTTTAACTCTTACGATATCCACAACCATCTAAACAAGTTGGCTGCTTATGCTTTCTGAACATACAAATGTATCTAATATGTATACACGTTGTAACTTAATGTACATATTATTAATTTAATTTTTAGGAAATCCAATCTTTGCTATACGGATGGAACGGTCCGGATTTGACAACGTACGGAGAGTTGTGTGCCGAAGGGACATTCAGGTAATTATAGCATTTTGAATAAAACCCTGTAGTGGCATATGAAGCGGGAATTGTCAGAAAGTTCTGACGGCTTCCGATAAATGGCGGTATAACCATCTCGTTTATGCCAGGCGTCACCAGGCGTAAGTATCCACACCGTCGATGAGGAGCGGCGTTAAAGGTTCCATGCATGGAGTGAAACACGTTAAGAGTGATTTTGAAAATAAAAAAATTTGAAAACAATAAAATAATTATTATGAAAAAGAATTATGGTGAAAGTTTGTGCAATAAAAAGTTATAAAAAGATCTTTCAAATTTACACTCTCGCTACACTGGCGCCACCCTTATTTAACTTTTCCTACACTCCATGGTGCGATGTCTAGTAGGGCGATGCCAAACTTGGACGATATGTGTTGGTGGATATTTTTACACCGGCACTATACGATTAAATTTCATATGAAAACAAAAAAAAATAAATCCTAATTTATTTTTTATGACATTTTCAGAGTGTTCGGCGCGAAGGCGATGCGTCACGCCTTCCTCTTCGATAAAATGCTTTTGGTAACTAAGAACCGGGAAGACGGGATACTCGCCTACAAGTCGCACATCATGGTAAGTTTTGTAGCAACTAATATCTTTTTAATCATCATCAGAGTACAAGTTGTAAATTCAGAGTGCAGATCAAAAAGGTGTTATTGTTTACTTAATCTAAAATAATGATTATATAGTTAGTTGTCATTTGTTTGTATCTGCTGGGCCAGTTACTACAATATACAATGGTCTCAGGGCGCACGCCTTCCTAAATTAAACAGAAATATTGTTTGAAACATTTTATTTATAGTTACGCGTTAATTACACATTAAATAAACTATTAGCAAGTGCATGTAAGTTACCAAAACTCTAAAGATAAAATGAGTTAAATAAAATATAAATAAAAAATGTGTAAATATAAGTAAATTGTTACAGTGCAACAATATGATGCTGGTGGAGTCGATAGCGGGAGCGCCTCTCTCGTTCCACGTGATCCCGTGGGACGCTCCCCGCGCTCAGCTCACGCTGCAGGCTCGCTCGCCCCGGCACAAGCGAGAGTGGACTTTGTTGCTTAAGCGGGTAAGTTCCTTTTGTAATATCTTTTGATGCCAGTTTATAGTGTGAAAAAATTGTGACGCTTACTGAGAGCCTACTAACTACCCGTGCGTTTAAAAATGTGATTGAAAATGGCGTCGCCTCTATTCACCTGTCGCTCGCACACTGTTACTATTTATACTCACATGTAACATGTATCCGCAAAGCGATATGCGTTTTTCGTACGTTCTATAACTTCAGTCTAACTTGTTATTGGAATCAACGATAACACAAGTGTTAAAATTAAAAATTTTATACAACCGACTTCAATATAAATAAAATAAGTCGAAGTCACTTAAATACGCATTATTAAGGATAACTCAAAAATACTGCTCACATCTTGATCAAATTTATATGGGACCACAAGAGAAGCACCAGCTTTCAAATAAAAAGAAGAATCATCAAAATTGGTTCACCCAGTAAAAAGTTCTGAGGTAACACACACAAAAAATACAGTTGAATTGAGAACCTCCTCCTTTTTTTGAGGTCGGTTGAAAATGCCATAAACTGCAAAAAAATTCAGTCCGATTTCGCTAATTTGTGAGCTACGACGCGTTTTGAGTTTTTCATTTTTTTTGTTTTTTTGTATAATTTTGCAGAGAGACATGAGTAACCATTTTTAAAATTTTCGTTTGTCTGTCTGTGCAAGATAATCTTCGGAATGGCTGAACCGATTGCAATAAAACTTCACGAACAAATGGAGAGTCATACCAAGAGCGATGTTGAACTGAATGTTATCGGAAACATTTAGAAATTTTATTAAAATGGAAAGATTATAGATAGATATAAAATAAGTGGTCTTTAATGATTATATTAAGTCTAAATAACGCCACATTAATAGATCCCACCCGGGCTAAAGTGGGTCGCTTGTTACAGTTGTTATTTTAAAATTAATATTTGAAATTTACACAATTTAAAATATTAATTTTTAATTGTTACAATTGTTTTCAAATATTTTCCCATTAATAGAAAATTTTCATATAGCCGAATAATATAACGTTGTAACGATACGCCGTTATTAACGGGTTTTCGCTATTGGTACTGTGCATGTTGACGGTACGGGCTCGATGAGCGCCATTTCTAATCCCATTCTTTATCCGTATGTACTGGAAAGTGGTAGAATAAAATAACGTTACTACCTGAATTTTAAAGGTCTTAGAGCAGAGTAAGACGCGTTTTTGTAATAAAACTGCAACTTTTTATAGTAGGAATGTGATTAAAATATGTAATGAGTAAATTATCTAATATTATATCACCGCGGCATGGCTGGACAGCACGGGGACTTTCTCTTCACTCTTTGCCCTAAAACCCTCTAAATAATGATACGACTGATAGTGAAAAATCTATGCAAATACTAGGTGGTACTGGTAGGATCGAATCTCATAGGTGTTGCACTGTATATGATCATAGAATACTATAATATACACTAGAATGGCTGTCAACCTTATTTTGTACGAGGACGGGCGTCGCCGGGAGCACACATACAAGCAATTACGTCGTATTACTTTTGATTAATATTCAAGATCATCATTAAAAAAATCGTTTAAATTTTTATACATATTTATTTGTTAATAGTGTGCAATTTGGCATTTTCTAAATAATTTGCATGCGAAATTTGGAAACGATTGTAACGTCAAAACACATCTCGTGTTGACATTTATACGTGTGAGTTGACATTTAGTGACATTTTAGTGGCTACACGGGCTCCGCCCACTCCCCAGTTCTACTATGTGTGTATTACAGTATTCTATGTAAACGATTATATTACGGTTATAGGACTCCTCTTCCTTTAATGGGTCATTTAGAAATTTTTGTAATATTTTAGAAATAAGCTGCTAATTAAATCAACACTCCATCCGAGAAGTAAAAGTAATAATTTTTGCTATATAAAGATACTTAGTGATTGAAAATTGCTGTGATAAAACTTTTTATTGGGATTCATCTGCTGTAAACAAAGAGTGGTATCGATGTAAGAGACTTCGAGTGTATCATCACGTTAGTGTCGATGGAGGAAATGAAACAGGAGAACAGCAGCGGCATCTTTCTGATAAAACCTCAAAATAATAAAAAATTGCGCCTGAAATCCACCACGGGCCGAGCATAGCAACTATGGGAATTTTGGCCCTGTGAGGCAATCTAATGACGAAGCCTATGTTCTTTTGATAGGCAGTAATAAATGTATGTTGTAGAAAGGCTGATTAATTAAATATATAATTAAATATCAACAATATTATACAGGAAAAATAACACTTAATTTTGTATTTCTTTTTAGGTAATTTTGGAAAACTACAACGCTGTCATTCCGTCACACGCGAGACAATTGGTGATGGAGCTGGGACAAAACAAAACTGATGGTAATTGACTTACAATAATGTTCAAATATATTTAGTAGCTCAGTGTTAGCTCTGGGATTTAGCAGGTTAGATAAGTCAGCTTAGGCTGCACCGCAAAAATTATCCTTGAACTACTTCGGTGATTTTGGCCTTTACGGCCATACTATTTTAAGTGCCGATTTACTATGTAATTGGTGGTATATAAATCGTGAAACCTGCATCTAAGAAATAAAAAAGAAATATATCGAAGATGTAAAGTTCGTCAATATGAATTGGCGCAGAGGCGGACAATTTCCATACCCTAAAATCTTCTCAGAATTGAAAGTAGGGCCTATAAATATAGGCTATAGTTTTACTTTTAAAAATCACATGGGAACATCACACTTTTAAAATTCGCCAACACACTGTCGAACAGCTTCCCGCGAACAAATTGCTCCATAACTCTTTTAGAAATGAGAGGACGTTTGTATCGAGCTGTGAGATGTAAACCTCGCGCTTCTTATTTTGAATGAAGTTAGTCGCACGAGGCTGCGCAGATGTATAAAGTTAAAATAGTTAGGAACGAAATGATAACAAGAGGAGTGGGAGGGTGGGCGGTAGCGAATACTAGACGTGCGAGCACGCATATCACGCGGCTACAATTACCGTAGATTAATGAATGTTAAGTAAATCGATTATCGTTATTGTCGATTACGATTCGATTTTATTTTATATTTTATTGAAGTGAAATCGTTTTAGAATCGTTGTGATTAGAACAAGAAAGTGACACTAATAAGAAACAAACAAAACTATAAATGTATTCTATCTCATTCTCTCGCAGTTAAATCTATGGCGCGCTGTTTTTCGAACATCACGTAGCCGTACGAGTGCGCTAGCTTGGTATGCAGAGTAGTGAATAACAGAGAGAGCATTGTTTACTTCTTAATTAAATCTTTTTTATTTATAATATTAGTTCCTACAGATTACAAATTCTGTACTTTATTCGTTACAAAAATACAAAAATAATAATCTTTCCTCTTTTTAATATATGATTCCTCTTTTTAATATAGATTATATGTTCTGTTCTGTAAAGAAAAATTATTGAATTGACATCGATTTTTTTTTCTAAATTGATGCATCGTACGTAAAATACTTCACGTAACTGAATTGTAAACTGTTTGTTCTTATGAGTTTTACAAGACACCGTAATGCACATTGCATAAATAATAAAGGAAAAAAAAACTAAAAAGTTCCTGTTTGTCCATAGGTTTAGGTTAGGTACTGTGTGTGTAAATTCTCACAAGACTACTCCGACCGGTCAATCACTTCACACCCATAGTATGTCGGATTTTCTTAATTACGTTAATAATTTTTTTTTGTATCGTAAAAGGTCGAAAATTAAGACGGCAGGCAGGCATCTTCGAAATCACATTACAAATATTTTTATGTAGAAATAATTTTTCCTAAATTTATATACACAGAGTTTTGGAAGGGAAATAATTTTTAGATATCATTTCTTAATGTTTTTTTTTATTGGTATCTTGACTTATTTTAAAATTTTAAAAACGGCGGGCACCTTTTGAAGGAACCGAATAAACCTACAAAAATGTTTTAACGCTTAGAATTACTTCAGGTCAAAGTTCTAGTGAACAGAAATACATAAAGTTTCGACAGTTCTCTTCGTATTCGGCCTTAATGCCTAAAGACATTCTCTACTAGTCAGTCAATACACATTATATGTAACAAAATATATTATTATATTATATTGTAAGTAAATACATAAATATACGTATATTCACACATATTCATAATGTATATACACACACACAAATACTTAAATACAAAATTAATACATACATATAAATACGACTATTTAACAATATTGGAATTATATTATTTTGGGATCACTTAAATTATTTGTTGTTCCTGCTAATATCGTGTATTTATCATATATTCGAAATGTTTATCGTAATTCTTTATTAGATTTAGATGTTATATTGAAATACATAAAGATATTGTTACGAGCTTGAGGTTCGTGACAATAAAAATTGCCGATAAAATTACCTAAATTAACACTTTAATTTACTTTACACAATTAAAGTTAAAACACTAATAATTTAAACACACTAATTCACTTAATTCCACTCCGAAGCTTCGCTTGTTTCGCCCAAATCAACACTGCCTCGATCGCATCTTGCAGCGCCTATATATTTGAATTAGCAAAGAAATATCCAGAATGTTCAAGTAAACACGCGGAAGGTATCGAGCGTTCGAGTTTCGACTAGGCGCTGTCAGTTGAGCGATTTGTGATGTCATTTTCTCAATGCTCCCCTCGCTCTCGTTCCTGACACTAGATGGCGCTAGTTGACTTATTCATGCAACACTGCCCCCCTCCTAAGACATGCTCGTCCCGAGCATTATCGGTCCCATAATAACGCGCCAAGCGATCCACATGGACGATCTTAGGAGTCCCTCTTGCGCCTTTCTGTATCCGGTAGGTCACATCGTTGATCCTGGTTACAATCCGGTACGGGCCGTCCCATTTAGCTTGAAGCTTAGGAGATTTCCCTTTGCTGCGGACTGGATTGTGCAACCACACAAGTGAACCTTCGTCGAACCCTTTGTTGTTCATTTTGCGGTCATACCGGGTTTTCATCTTTTCAGACATTTGCTGGCCCGATTGTCTGACGTGCTCATAAACGTCATTCATTTTTTTTCGCAAGTCATTTGCATAATCGGTTATACTGCGTGGAGCATCGGGTGGTATCCCGGTGATCAGGTCTGCAGGCAGCCGTAATTCTCTTCCAAAGTTTGCGAAAGCTGGTGTCACTGCTGTACTTTCGTGAACAGAACTCCGATATGACAACAAAAACGGTTGTATGTGCTTGTCCCAATCTCGTTGCCGATTGTCTACAACTTTTGCTAGGTACCTCTCCAATGTCTGATTAAATCGTTCCACCATTCCATCAGATTGCGGGTGATAAGAAGTCGTTCTTGTTTTATGAGTACCCATAACTCGGCAAGTTTCCTGGAATATTTGAGACTCAAAATTCCTTCCTTGATCGCTGTGAATCTCTAAAGGTACTCCAAAACGACAGAAGACTTCATGAACTAGTTTATCTGCAACTGTTGAAGCTTCTTGATTTGGAATGGCGAAGACTTCTGGCCACTTAGTGAAGTAATCCATCACAACCATGAAATACTTGTTACCGCTTTCACTCTCCGGAAACGGCCCCGCCACGTCAATGGCTATTCTCTCCCATGGTGCACCAACATTGTACAACTTCAATGCACCTCTACTACGAGTCTGAGGTCCCTTTACAGCCGCACAACTTGTACATTTGCGACACCAGTCCTCGACATCGTTTCGACAGTGGACCCAGTAAAACCGTTCTCGGATCTTCAGTAGAGTTCGTTTAACTCCCAGATGGCCTCCTGAACAATCATTATGGTACAGCTGTAGAACATCCGGTACTTTAACTTTAGGGACAACCATTTGCAAATGACAGCTGTCTCCCCGAACGTTTTCCCATTTACGACACAGAACTCCATCCTGAAGCAGCAAGCTGTCCCACTGGGCCCAATAGCTTTTAGTGGTCGAACTCATCGCTGAGACGTCACTCCACTTGGGCTTGGGAGCACTGGCCTTTATCCATTCCAGAATCGGCTTGATGTCCGGATCTTCCTGCTGTGCATGTAGTAAGCTGTCCTTCCACTCGTTGCTGAGGTGGTCTGCCCTGAGCATCCTCACGGATACCACTTCCTTACTCTCTTGCCTAGTACAATGTTTGCAATCTTCAGGACAAGGTCTTCTTGACAATGCATCTGCGTTGCCATGAGATTTCCCGCTGCGATGTTCGATCTCAAAGTCGTATTCCTGCAGTAGTTCAATCCACCTCGCAACTTGTCCTTCTGGGTTTTTAAACTGCAATAGCCATTTTAGTGCAGCATGGTCAGTTCGTAAGTGAAATTTTCGTCCCAGAAGATATTTGCTAAAATGTTGCAACGACTTTACCACAGCTAGCAATTCGCGTCTTGTGACACAGTAGTTCCTTTCCGGTTTTGACAACGACTTGCTGAAGTACGCTATCACGACCTCTTGGTCACCATTCCGTTGAGACAACACACCGCCGAGTCCTATATCACTTGCGTCTGTGTCAACTATAAATTCTTTGCTTGCATCAGGGTATCCCAAAATAGGTGTTTTGCACAGACGGTCCTTGAGCTCCTGGAATGCGATATTGCAACTTTCATCCCAGCAGAAATGTCGCTTCTCCTCGGTTAGCTTGTGCAGAGGTTTGGCTATATCTGCAAAGTTCTTCACGAATCGCCGGTAATAGGAGCACAAACCCAAAAATGCTCTAACCTGCGTCTTGTCTTTTGGAACCGGCCAATCCTTGACAGCGGCGATTTTCTCTGGATCTGTGCGGATACCTTCTTCCGATACTACAAACCCCAAAAAGTTAACTTGCCGTTGAAATAGTGAACATTTCTTCGGGCTCAACTTGAGGTTGGCACTCTGAATCTTCATGAGCACGCGTTCCAGGTTTTGAAGGTGTTCCTCAAACGTACGGCCCACGATGATGATGTCATCCAAGTAGACCAGACAGGCATCGCCAATTAGCCCGGTAAGTACAAGTTCCATCAGCCTTTCAAACGTTGCTGGAGCATTGCACAACCCAAACGGCATTACTTTGAATTGCCACAGACCCTTTCCCGTCGAGAACGCAGTTTTCTCCTTGTCCTTAGGGTCAATTTCAACTTGCCAGTAGCCACTTTTTAGATCCAGCGTGCTAAACCATTTTACTCCTGTAAGCATGTCCAGCGTGTCATCAATTCTTGGCAAGGGATAGCTGTCCTTCTTTGTAACGTCGTTCAGACGGCGGTAATCAACACAGAACCGCATGCTGCCATCCTTCTTTTTCACCAGCACCACTGGTGAACACCATGGACTAGAGGAAGGTTCAATAACACCATCCTTCACCATTCCTTCAATCATGGTTTCCACTTCCTTTTCACGTGCTACCGGCAATCTTCTTGGCCGCTGACGGATAGGCAATTCCTCTCCTGTGTTTATTTTGTGTTGAACTAGGCCAGTCTTTCCTATGTCAGCATCATTTGATGAGAATACATCGGCGTACTTGAGTAACAACTTCTTCGCCTTGACCAATTCGTTCGGGGACAGAACACTGCGACAGTCTTCCAAAAGTGTGGTCACTCTCGTTTCTGAATCCTTGCTGGGGGTCCCACTCGATATATATTGGCACTGACGTAACCAATCCACTTCCTCACAAGTACCAACCAGTGTGCCTTTTTCTATAATCTGTTCCCGGTCGCAAAGGTTCAGCACACGTACTCCTGAGATGTCAGTGGTCCTGACCAAGGTTCGAGCTACTTTCCATGGAAGGTCATCGTTTACCCTTTCCACAAGTACACAACGGTGAGCTTGCCCAGCGTTTCGAGGAAGACTAACCGGAACAATCGTTTCCGATCTCGGCGGAAGAACAATCTTCTTGATGCTGTACACGTTCCCTGGTAACGCACCTTCCATAAAAAGTTCCTCCTGTCCACATTTCAAAACACCTTGCTTAACGTCGATCTCGCAACAATTATTCCTCATAAAGTCTAAGCCTAGGATGCAGTCGTCCATTATATCAGCCACGATGACATTATGCAGGTAGATCACGTTGCCTAGCTTCAACTCCATCTCCTTCTCTCCACGGACGGGTATACGCTGACCGGTGGCTGTTACCAAATTAAGGCGTTCTCGGTTGTATGCGGAGTCCCCAAGTAACTGACTTATAAGTTGGGAACTAACAACCGTACGAGAGGCTCCAGTGTCTATGGTCAGCTTACACGGCATTCCGTTGATCTCGCCCTTTATGATTAGGCTGTTCCCATCATGGGTTTGTGAGATCGAGATCCTTGGGGCTCTTTTAACATCAGCCAGCACCCGCCCCGCAGTTCTGGCTTTTACTCGTTTCCCTGCCGCTGCTGGGCGGTGCTGTTGGCCGCACTACCCTCCTGAGATCGTTCAATTTCCCTTTCTAGGGTTCGCTTAGGGCAGCTGGATCGAAGATGGCCCTTTTCCCCACAGCCATAGCACCTTGGGCTGTATCCTTTGTTGCGGTCGCGAACTGTAGCTGCTGCAACCTCCCTGACGCGATGGGAACGATGATCCTGCCGCACGGCTTCCACTTCCAGTGCATGGGCCAAGGCGTCCTTAAGCGTCTCGTGGTGCCCGAGCCTCACAGCAGCTCTGACTTCCAGGTCGCGGATGCCGTCGATGAATGTCTGCACCAGGTTCCCTTCAATGAGCGCAGGTACAGACCGGTATGCTTTTCGAACCATCTTCTCCACCTCAAGGGCCCACTGCTGCAGGTTCTCGTTGCTGCGCTGCACGCGATCTTTAAGCTGCGCGCGAAAGACGTGTTCCAGATGAGCGTCGCCATATCTCGCTTCCAAGGCCTCAAGAAGCTGCTCATAGGTCACTTTCTTACCGAGAGCTTCCAACACAGTTAAGGCTTGGTCACGCAGGCCTAGGGTGAGTGCAGTCATGGCTTGGCTTTTATTCCAGCCGTTCGCCTCCATGACGGCCTCGAACTGGATTTTGTAGGCCGACCAGGAAGAGGTCCCGTCGAACGGCGGCACTTTGAATCCACGTAGCGAAGGTGCTGCAGCTACTACGGGAGCTGTAGTTCCATCCCCAAGTTTGAGGTCGTTTAGTGATTTCTTCATGTCAGCCACTACGTTGTCAACCCGATTGTTTACTTGGTCGATTCGGGTTTCAGCTTTCTCGATTCGGTTTTCAGCTTTCACGATTTGGGTTTCGGCTTCCGACAGGCGGTTGTCATGCTGAGCAACCCTATCCTTCACCTCCTTTATCTCCTTCCCGAAGGTAGCGTGAAGGTCCTTCATGAGGAGCATCTGCTCTTCCAACCGACGGGCCTGTTCCTCCTGTCCGTCCCGCAGCTGCTCTTCCAATCGGCGTGCCTGTTCCGCCTGCTGGCGAGCCTGTTCCTCCTGCTGCTCTTTCAACAGACGGGCCTGTTCCTCTCGTCCGCGCTGCAGCTGCTCCTGTAGCATGGCCATCAGAGCACCTAAGTCAGGTGCTGCAGATGTAGGAGCTACTGACGGGCCCGCAGTCTCCGTGGCTAGCTGTTGGCCCTCCGACGTCTGCGGCGTTGCACCACCAAACCTCCTCTGGTCCGTCTCCTGCTGGCGTTGACTTCGGGTACGGACACCCTCCGTTTCCTCCTTAGGTAAAATCGGCATGATTTAATCCCACTTCTGACACCAATTGTTACGAGCTTGAGGTTCGTGACAATAAAAATTGCCGATAAAATTACCTAAATTAACACTTTAATTTACTTTACACAATTAAAGTTAAAACACTAATAATTTAAACACACTAATTCACTTAATTCCACTCCGAAGCTTCGCTTGTTTCGCCCAAATCAACACTGCCTCGATCGCATCTTGCAGCGCCTATATATTTGAATTAGCAAAGAAATATCCAGAATGTTCAAGTAAACACGCGGAAGGTATCGAGCGTTCGAGTTTCGACTAGGCGCTGTCAGTTGAGCGATTTGTGATGTCATTTTCTCAATGCTCCCCTCGCTCTCGTTCCTGACACTAGATGGCGCTAGTTGACTTATTCATGCAACAATATTTTCATTACAATCATCATTTTCAATAATCGATATAATCGATATAAACAAAACAAACTGCTTCCGATGTTATGAGCGAATATGAAGTGTCACATCTCTATCGACTAGTGTCCTTACATGCGCAAAAGCCAACTTTAGCCCGGCCAAGATAGAATGCGCGGACAATGTGTAGGCTGTTATTTTTATTTTACATATTCGTATCTCATTAATTAATAGACTGGGGAATAGACAGTCCAATTATAAAGTTTTTAACCTCTGATATCAGAAGTAAATGCTTACAATTACCAATAGTTTAACTAGTAATTTTACTAATTTTTAATTATATAATATTATTATACAATAAATATACCTTATTAATAAAACACATTTTTTTTTCAGATGATATGTTAGCGGAGAAATCTCACAACCTTATAACCCAAGCATCAATGAGAAAACAACTATCAGCCCCTGAGTATCTAGAGAAGAGGAAGTTAGAAAGAGAAAGAAGGAAGTCGTTCGAAAATGGAATAAAAGGTCGACTGAAAAAAGTAAATAGAAAATACACATTGCCTAATTCTGGGAACGAGAGTGTAGATTGTAATTGTGTTCAGGTATCGGCCGAGAAAGGGACAGACTATACTTGCGATAATTGTTACATAGATCTCTGTTCTGATTGTGAGTTAGAACTATCAAATAAGGAGAAAATTAGAGAAGGAAAGTGTAATTGTAACAATGGTGATAACTGTGAAAATACTGGAGATAAATGCCCGGAATGCGATAGATCTCTTCATTACATTGATTCTGGTAGTGCTGAGCATTTAGAAAGGAAACAAGCTTCATGTAAATGTTCAGACTTTAAATCTTCCCAAGAAAGTTTTAGCAAGGAATATCCAGGGTCATCGTTAAATAAAACCAGAGGATACCATTCCTCAGATAATATCGTCGGTTATACCGACATCAGGAAAAGCAAAGAAGATTTGTGTGATACAAATAATTCACTCTCAAGTGTTAGAAATATCCCAAAAACCTGTCTTAAATGTACCAAAATTAGAGAAAATATGCCTGTTACTGATTCTATGCAGACACTGCATACAAGAAGATCTAGATGCATTGATATTGATAAACATAAGACAGACACTCTTAGATCAAAATCAAAGGATGATCCACAAAGATCCAAACTTTCAAAAATTGGCACTTGGAGAAGAAAATCGGAACCAGGATTACAACAAAATTCTGTTGGATTAATTTTAAAGAAATCACAGGATAGCGATATCGATAAAAATGACGGTAAAGGTACCGAAAAAATTGAATTCGAATGTCGGAATTGTGGTTCTAATAAAATATCCAGAAAAACAAAAAATAGTGATGGGTCGATTATATCGGATCCTGAACTAGATCTCAAAAAAAGAGGATCGAGCGTTGGTCACAAACCGAATTTAGAAATTAAAATGTATAATACTAAAAATATACCAAAGAAAATTTCGAAGATCAAGAAAAACAGAGCTAAAGGTTTGCGCGTTACTTCCGATACAACAAGCCGATTTTATACAGATTTTTCTACTGACGTATCGACAGAAAACATTTTGCATATATCCGAGTCTACCGACAATCTCAACGTAGAAAAACAACAAGCAAGCAAAGTAGAGTCAAAGATATTTCAAACGATCAGTAAAGATGAGGATATAGATGAAGAAACTTATAAAAAACTAATAGAAAAAACTGACTCGTTCAAAAAGAATGAACTAGAGAAAGTGAAATTTTTAAACAAACAAAAAGTTATCAACGAAAGTTCAGAAATTGAGGACAAAACATGTGATATGGAACAGGGACACGATGAAATAACGGAAAGCTGTGAGGAGACAGAACAACCATTGGAACAAATTATATCACAGCTCTTGTTGGAAAACCGTGAATTCCAAAAGCTTTTAAAGAAACAACAGCAAAGAAATAGTGCTCAAAGAAGACATCAAAGATTACTTAAATCTCACTCAAATCCTGATCAAGACATTATGGCTAAAAGCTTTGAATCGACTGCCTTAAAACCAAAGTACATTCGACAAGCGTCAGAAAATTTAGAACTAAATACGATTGATAGAGATGACCAACATGAAAATATTAGCCTACCGGACACAAAACATGATGATGACATATCAGATGATGATCATATTTATGAAACTTTACGAATAGATAACAGAGTAGACGAACGTTTACATTCATTAAACAGTAAAAGTAAAACAATACAACATAACACACATATTTCTAGACCAAAAAGATTACCTTCTCCTCCAAATATGAATTTACCTGAAATACGAAATAATATCTCTGAATCTGACTATGTATATTTATCATTTCATAAACAGTCTCAGGAAGATGACGGTGTATACGATGTCCCAGTAAAATCACCACAAAAAGTTGGAAATCCAAAAGAGACTCCAGACTATTATGTGACAATGGAGAAAAAAAGTCCGCCGTTAAATGATGAAAATGTTTACGACAACCTTATTGAAGTTTGTAGAAGGAATAAAGAAGTGCCTAGTAATTTACTGTGTGATTATTTACCAATGAGCTCCGACCAACAAAGTCCGAACACACCCGAAATTTGGCTTAGTCGACAGAAAGAGCACTTTAATGTCTCTAGGGATCGAAAATCTGGATCACTACCAAGAAGTTTTCAAGTAGTTACAGGTAGCCAGGACGAGAATAATTTAATAACTTTCAAATGCAAACCTAATAGCAACAGCAAAACTTACTTGAATAGAGATGGTAAGGTTATGAGTACGGATAGACCTTTTACCATTGCATCAGATCAAAGTGAACTAAGTTATGAAGATGTAGAAAATTACATGAGTGAAAGTGACATATTTAAATTCAACAAAAATTCCAATTCCAGTGATGCTGACTATCCACAAAATATTAGCCAGTCTACTTTAGAGCTAGAGGAAGAAATTGATAGATGCTATAAAAATAATTTTGAAAAGATTGATGTGGACACGAACAAAAACGATACTTCGTTGACAGCATTGCAACCGAATTTAAATACGTCCACTACATCTTCATGCGAAGTACTACCGATAGAAAGAGAAGACGATAAGAAGGATGTTGCAGTCATACATCCAGAACACAAAATATACAAGCCTACTAGCAATGTCCTCTCCCTTAAAAACGTACTAAGTCGCTTTAAGAATCGTACTCCAAATAAAAGCAGCGAAGAGTCTGAAATTAATGACCAAAGCAGCCCTGAAGGCACAAACAAGAGTCCAACAAATGAAAAGAGATCAGCGCTTAATCCTAGAAGTTACTCCAAAAATCTATTACAAAGGTTTCGAAGTATAATTGGCGATGAACATCCTGATGATGCTCAGTCTAAATCCGATCTAAAAGCAAGAGCATCGGAGGATGCGCAAATAGGTCCTTCAAAAACTGATATAAAAGTGGTTATTACTACTGATGTCAGCACAACTACTTCAACTATAGCATGCGCAATAAATGAAGTACTTAGTAAAAGCGTGCATGAAAGTACTACAATGAGTGAAAGCCAGATCGAGAGAAACAACTTGGAAGTATTATCTCACAGCTGCGACAATCTTGCTCAGAAATCAGAAAACCTACGACCCAATTTTAGTAAAAGCATCAGTATGGTCACAAGTACATCAAGTTCTGTAAGTTCTTCGCCTTTGAGATCAAATAACAGCTCTAATCAAAACCTTAACAAATTTCCGAGTTATATGCAAGGTAGCAAATACTTAGGAGCTAGAATTGCTCAGTCTGATTACGTAGATCCAACGACATTAGTTAACGAAAAGAACGCATTTAAAAATGTCAATGTACTTATAAATAAAAATGCTCTCAGACCAGACAGTTTGTTTTCTAATTCCTCCTTTGTGACATCATCGAGTGAGAGTACGTATCAAGAGCCACAGAATAAACAGAATGTTGTTAAAACTAACGATGTCAAAGATAACTCTGAATCGTCAACCCAAGGCAATTCAGATGAGAGCTTTTACGAAAAATCATTTGAAAAAATAGAAAGTTTTACTGATGAAGATGTATTTAGAGATTCCGCTGTTTACTCAGATCAAGAAGATGTGGATGAATCGAAAACGGAATGCCTAGAAAAGGATAAAATGATTCATAAATCTGTTAAACGAATAGAAAGCTTGAAACATAACACTTCATTTAAATCTAAAAAAGTTATCATAACTGCAAGTACGAGTGAAAAAACATGCGCAAACTCTCGAGTGACGATAACAGCTAATAAAGTTAAGGAAACATTTCAACAAGAGGATTCCACAAATAATAAACAGTCTTCTCTTAAGTCTAAAAATGCACCACCTGTACCGATAAAACCTAAGATTAGTAATATGACAGGATCTACAGTATTAAAAAATAAAACTGCTGTTAAAACAAGTGTTGTAAACCAGTCATCATCATCTTCAGAATTTGGTAAAGTGCAAACCATTAAACAAAATATTAATACAAAAACTATTTTGGCACGAGCAGGATCAAGTCCCTTGGCCGAGGTAGACGATAATAGAAAGGTAATAGAGAAGGATACTTTTGATGCGGGATCAAATGCGGATTCAAATGAGTCTGCAAATGAAGTAAAGAAAGATGTTAAAATTGTAACAAACAAATTTAACAATCAAGGCAATATTCAAATGAAACGAATGAGTTTCGAAAGGGCTAGCCTCGATTCAGCTACACGAAAAATTAAAGTACAAACTGATAAACGGTCGTCAGTTGAAACAGCAAAATTAACTACAAAATCTGTCTTAGAAAGGCGGATGGAACTCGAAATGATGTCAAAAACTGAAACGAAAACAAATGCATGTATCAAAAAGCCCGCGTACAGTGTAAAACCTAAATCAATAACTACAAAAGTGGCGTCGTTTGAAAGAAGTGTCAGTGAAAATATCAATAGAGAATCGAGACAATTTATACCGAACAACAACACTGATAAAGCAAACATTCCGCTAAATAGAAGCAGTATTAATGATCAAACAGAGATTGCAGAAGACCTGAAAGGTAGTTGGGTCAAGCAAGTTGTAAACAAATTCCAATGATCTACTTTCGAGTGACACAATGCATTTAAGAAATCAATCCGTCTGATTTTCTATTTACATTTTTAAATTTCCTCATTTATCATTATTCATTACTCAGACATTTTTAATTATATTGCTAATATATCGCCTTATATTAACGCAATGCAAGACTTATTTACGATATAGTAAATAAGTCTTACGTTGTTATTAAGTATATTTTTTAATGTAAATAGTGTTTAATATCAAACCTCTTCGAGCTTTGATATCTTGTGCCATAGACAAGATAGTTTTATAATCTGGCAGTTGTATATCACTATGCAAAATTTATACACGAACACAATGTATATAATTGTTAATAAGCTTATTTTGCTACGTATTTATTCAAAAGTGCCATCGCAAATGTACTAGATGAAATATTTACAACAAAATATATTTTTCGTGCAATTAAATATCGATCTACTTAAAAGTATTTATTTTCTCATAGAATTAAGTTTGTTATAGTTACTAACACCAAAAAGTAGTTTTGTTGTAGTTTTAATTTACTAATTTTATGAATTACGTTGCTCCTTATATTTCTTTTAGCGTTGCTGGATTAAATTAAAAGACAATTTAATGAAATCAACCATAGATATAACCAAATGTTTAATTTTTAACCTATTGCCTAGTATGACAATTTTATAACTTGTTCATTCACAATTTCATTCAAACACTTTTTTTTGTACTAGAATTCAGAACACTACGATCTTATTCCCACTAGTGCTTTAAAATACTTCAATAAAATTCTTTAGCAAGGACATTTTTAGATTTTATAAAATTAATTTCTTGGCCGAATGATTATCGATCACACGATAGTAACATATGTAGTTCCATTTTTAATTCCAATATATTCCAATATAACTTAATTTTAAGTTTAACGTAACAAGACAAGTATACTTAATTTGTGGAGACTGTTAGAATCATAAGTTAACATGATTATTTTCGTTAATATTTTGTAGTAAAATGAACTAACATATAATTACAGAATGTAAGCAGTTTTAAAAATAAATAGTTATCAAAGTTACTGCATAGACTGCGCACCTGTTACGTCCAAAATATCAATAAACTGTGGTTGTGCAAGCTTAAAATATATTGCAATGTATCAAAATTACTGAATATTATATTAATCTATCAATATTGTGAATAATCCAAAGTGTTCAGTACAGTTGTGGAAGTTTTTTCCATATTTCGTTACTCTGTTTAGTAATGTTACTGTAAGTATTACTAATTTACCTTTACTGCCGATATCGCGGTAGATTTTGATATTAATAAAACATTTTTTCTTATTCGTGTCGTCTTTTATTACTAATCTTTAACAACCTGAAACGTTTATTGTTGGACATGGGACTATCTTATTGAAGGAACGACTTGCCATTATTGCTATCGTAACGTGTATCAGGGTGCTTCGTATTTCTGCAATCGCAAATCTGTGATTGCAGAAATACGAAGCACCCATAAAACTTAATGAAATTCGTATATTTTTGGGAATGGCGTACTTCTACATTAAGTTCATACCAAACCTGGCCATATCGAAAGTCCACTAAATAAAGTTTTAAATGGAGGCAGTGATGCAACTTTTATATTATTCGTATATCCAACATGATATTTTATTTAATTCATTAATATAATATTTAACATTATAATAAAGAACTTAACTAAAATAATAATTAAAATTATAATATTTACGATTAAAACTAATTATATATACAATATAAAAGAAGAAACTATAATATAGAAAACCTAAAACTAAAAACTTAAATCGTCAAAAAGGCCTGCTCCCCGTGGTATAGTGCCAAGAACGCTGGCTGCGTTTCCTCGCTGAATAGCTATACTTAGCCTTTGAGCGAGGAAAGAACCATCCCTCTTATCACCAGCAGCGACGACCAGTCGTGGATACAGTTCCTTTAGAAACTTCATTGCACGTGGACCCCACGGACCGATAGTCTCTACAGCAAATGGCACAAATGTGTAGTCATTTCTCAAAGACATATTTGCGCCATTTACTAAATTCGGCTGCCTCTGATGCCGCCCCGGCTCTACAACAGATACCCTTGAGATGAGAGGCCGCCAAAGTGTCAACGCAAGTAGCATCTCACACTAGGGCTTTACCTCTCTCCCAAGGGACCAAAGTCATACCGTCGGGTCTCTAGCCATCGTCTCTAAATATCCCGCAAGGCTCTAAAACCGAGGGGATATGATATTCAATTTTTTGGCCTTTTCCTTGCCTCTTGCTACGCAAGCAATTGAACGAAATTATATGATTCCGCCACGTACAAAATGTATATATCAGGTACTCTCATCTACCTAAATAAAAACTGAGTTTGTACATTATGGATATGCAAAAAATGTTTTTGGCGCAATAACGTGCTCACGGACAGTGTGAATTTTTTCCCCTTTTTGTTTTGTTTGTGTCACCTCTCTTCGTATAACACGTACGTTTAGTACGTTAGTACGTAAGTTTTAAAAACTCATCATAAAAATATTTTAAAAATTTAATCTCTAACATAATTCAATGTTTAATGAATACTTTTTACTTATATTGTATACCTTTTATTTCCAAAACCAACATTAAATAATAATCAGCGGTAAACCTAGCATGTACCAAACTCTACTGGTAAAAGCCGGAAAATAGTAAAAAGAAAATCCTTAGATTTACCCAAATATGAGATTTTACAGTAACATAATAATATATACCTAAATGTCGTGAACTCTGAACTCTTTTCAAGTATGAAGAAATTAATATGATATTATGTGAACCTGGAAGGAATGGAATAGGGACAAATTAATGTTCTTGTTTTATATTATACTCTACACAGTAGAGTTGGCAACACTGGTAAAAGGATACTAATACTGACTCATGATTGAGATGTAGGGCATGGAGTATAGAGGTAAGGAGGACAATCTCCCATAGGAGAATAGTTGAAAATGTGTTTTTCTGTAAGCAATAAATAATAGTTCAAAAACTTTCCACAACAGGGCTCGAGTAGCTACAGGGTACGATAAATCGCCGTAAAATACGTTAGGAGGGATTTTGAAAATAAAAATTTTGAAAGAAATAAAATAATTATTGTAAAATAAGTATGGTGTAAGTCTGTGCAATAAAAATATTATAAAAAGTTTATTTATTTATTTAACAATTCATGTACACACGAAGTATTTTACAATGAAAAATAAAAAGAAATTTTGTACAAAGGCTCTGCTTATTTCATAATGAAATTTCTTCCAGCAGGCCTGATACTGGACAGATTCAAAGAGAAGCAGATTTAGTGTGCACCCTCATAATAAATTTTATAATAAACTTAATATAACATAAAGATAATAAAAACATATACATACAAACATGCATATACCTAAATACTATGCTATATACATATATAAAATAAAATACAAGTAGATACACATATATTTACAAGTCATACATTGGATCATTGGGACGACAAAGAAAGATAGTGCTCTTTAACTCGCCTTTTAAACACTGAAACTGTTGGAGCCTCACGAATTGCAGTAGGAAGAGAATTCCATAACCTAACTGCATGTACTGTAAAAGAATGAGAATAGTACTTAGTTCTGAAGGAAGGGAAATTTAGGAGGGTTTTTAAATGTGATCTGCAAACTGCATCGGGAGAACGAGCAAAGCGGAATCGATCACGTAGATATGGTGGTGATGTTGGATCGTAGAGTATTTTAAAAAGGAGGCATAGGATTCGGGTATTCCTGCGAAGTCGGATTGGGAGCCACTTGAGCTGTTTGCGATAGGAAGAGACGTGGTCATACTTTTTTAGCCCAAAAATGTAACGGATACATAAGTTTTGCAAGCGCTCAAGCTTGTTTAATTGCTCCTCAGTCGCATCCAAATAACAGACATCGGCATAATCAAGAATCGGAAAAATAAGTGTTTGGACAAGAGAAATCTTCGTTGATAAAGGCAAAAAACTTTGAAGACATTTTAAAGAATGTAAAGTATAATTGATTTTCCGGCTAACTTCTGTGATATGTGCATTCCATGTCAATTTGCAATCCATTATGATGCCCAGATTCTTAACAGTTTCTGAAATGCTTAGTGGAGTGCCATTAATTTGGAGTGCTGGGAGTGAAGTAAAATCGAGTAGGTTACGAGTAAACCTGGTGCCTATAATAATTGCTTGTGATTTTTTTGGGATTTATAACAATTCCATATGATCTGGACCACTCATGGATTTTATTAAGATCTTTATTTATTTCAAATATTGCTGAATTTGCTTCAGTCACTAGAAAATGACGATACAGCTGTAAATCGTCTGCGTAGAGATGAAAGTTTGAAGATATCACCTTGGAGATACAGTTAATAAAGACAGAAAAGAGTAAAGGAGAAAGGACGCCACCTTGAGGAACACCCGTAGCTAGGTTGCACCACTTAGATAAAGTTTCATTTGAACGAATACACTGAGAACGACCACGGAGGTAGGAATCAAACCATTGAATAGTTGAAGGAGACACATTAATAGAATGAAGAATGCTAAGAAGTATATCGAAATCAATAGAATTGAAGGCACTACTAAAATCCAGCAGTACGAGTACCGTTAAGTAATTTTGGTCTATACCGCACCGGATATCATCTGTTACCTTGAGGAGAGCAGTAGTTGTACTGTGGCCAGGCCTAAAACCAGATTGAAAAGTACTTAAGATATTGTTACGGTTAAGAAACTTAGCTAATTGTGTGTGGACAATATGTTCAAGCACTTTTGAAAGAAATGGTAGAATAGAAATAGGCCGATAATGAGTTGTAGATGAAGGATTTGAAACTTTGGGTATAGGGATAATATGAGCTAATTTCCATGACGACGGAAAGCAACAAGAAGATAAAGAGAAATTAAAGATATGAGTAAGAATAGGGATGACAAAGGGAAGAATCAATGTAATCATTTTAGAGCAGATGTTATCATTTCCAATAGCAGTAGATGATATTGCAAGCACGGATCGCTTGGTATCATCTTCAGTAATGGAAG